TAGGTGTTCAGAATGCCAGGATGCCCTCACCCACTGGTACTATGAGAAGGATGGCAAGCTCTACTGCCACAAAGACTACTTGGGGAAGTTTGGGGAGTTCTGCCACGGATGCTCCCTACTGATGACCGGCCCCGCCATGGTGAGTGAGTCCCCTCATCCCAGCACCTCCACTTCCCTTTGGTTCCGTCATCTTTCCGGTTTTCCCATCAGCCAGGGTTTCCCCTTGATTCAGTTACTAGGCAGGTGTTGAGCACCTGTCCAAGTGTTGGCAGTGGGTGGGTAAGTGGGCAGGGAGGACACACCTCCAGTGGGAGAAGGTTGCAAACCAAAAGGATGACAAACCTAAATTGTGTTCAGGGCGTTCGGAAAGGAGAGCTCAGGGCGAGCTGGCCAAGATACGGGGCCACCTCTGTTCCTGCTCCTGTCAAAACTGGCTAGCCCTGTAGTAGAGGGACTGTGAGCCTTTCTAGTGAGGAAGGTTCTGTCTGAGAACTCCTTCCCATGGCTGAGACCTAGACAGGAAAGGCCCCCGCTTGACTGTCTCTGGCAGCTCTGGGGTCATACAGCCCATCCTGCTCTTTCTCCAGCAACAGCAGCTGGGCTTAGTCCGCCCAGACCACTCACCCCTCCCTCACTGCCCTCTCACAGGTGGCCGGTGAGTTCAAGTACCACCCAGAGTGCTTTGCCTGCATGAGCTGCAAGGTGATCATCGAGGATGGAGACACGTACGCACTGGTGCAGCATGCTACCCTCTACTGGTAAGAGGGCAACCCTGCCTGTCCTCTCCAGGAGCGGGGAAGCGGGCGGGCAGTACACTAGATTCCTATTACAGCGATGCTCAAAACCAGTTCTGTAATCTGTTAGCAAGAGGGCTGAAGTCTCTCTCTGCCTTCTGTCCTCACCCCCCATTTCACAACAGGAAGGCGCTTTCTGTGGAAGATTCCAGAAAAGTACCAAGGCAGAGACCAGACCCTCTAGAGCAGCAGTTCTCAACCTTCCTAGTTCCGCAAACCTTTAATACAGTTCCTCATGTGGTGACCCCCAAACTATAAAACGTTTTTCGTTGCTACTTCATAACTGTCATTGTGCTACTGTTATGAATCAGGCGACCCCTGTGAAACGGTCATTCGACGCCCAAAGGGGTTGCGACCCACAGGTTGAGAACCTCTGCCCTAGAGCTTACCCAGGCTAACTTTGGGGTTGACAAAAGAATCAGAATGAGGTCCGGAGAGGGGAGGGGAGCAAAGAGACAGTGTTGGCCACCACCTCCGTGACCAGTACATCCCTCGCTGCAGATCCAGGGCACCACCTCCAGTCCCAGCCCCAACCCAGCGGCCCCACACTCCTCATTCTGAACAGTGCGCTGGACTCCTGCCAAAGAGGGTGTAGGAGTGCGTCCATGGGTAGTGTTACTTGAAACCCCAGGCTGCTGTGGGTGTTGGGGGAGGGGACACCTCAGGTCAGGCTTCAGAATCCCAGCCCACTCTGTGGCCCTTCTCCTCAGCGGGAAATGCCACAACGAGGTGGTGCTGGCACCTATGTTCGAGAGACTCTCCACGGAGTCCGTGCAGGACCAGCTACCCTACTCCGTCATGCTCATCTCCATGCCCGCCACCGCCGAGGGCCGACGGGGCTTCTCCGTGTCTGTAGAGAGCGCCTGCTCCAACTACGCCACCACTGTGCAAGTGAAAGAGTGAGTGTCTGCGTGTCGGGTTGGCCCCCTATCTGCCCAGGAAGCCCCGGGATTCAGAACCGCAGTCTTAGGGGAGCTCGCCGCGCCTGAGCCTCGGCACTTCTGCCCGCCTCCTGAAGCGCAGACTCTGCTCACCTTGCAGATCTCAGCTTTCCAAGAATGTGTGCTCTTTGAGATTCTCTGATTCGATTGTGTAGCTCTACTGCATCATTTGCTCTTTCCACTAGAATGTAAGTTCAGGAAGAACTTGGTCTTAGTAGCACTGCATGCCCAGGACCTGGACCAAGGAGTCAGTGTTCATAGACTAGTTGAGAGAATGCCAAAGGGAGAAGATCAGGTCCTTCGTCCAAAAGAGGATATGAACCCCATCGTAGGTTGTCAGGACAGAGACCAAGTGGGGAAAGAGGCTGTCTCCAGCTAGTACCAGGGATGAGGCACCTCTGAGATGTACAGCCTAAGTCATTATTGTGCGCCGACTCCACGCTGGAAAGGAGACTGCTACCTATAGTACAAATCCAAGTCAGAAGGAGATCACGTCTATGCCGAACCCTCATGGGATGGCGTGAGGTCAGGCTGATACTCCGGACAATTGTACTCCGCAGCATGTCCTCAGAGGGGGGGTGGAGTCTGTGGTTGTGTCTGGTGTAGACTAGAGGTTGAGCATCACCAGAGAGGTCCTGGATTATGCAGAGCCTGAAAGGCCCATGGATTGGTTTAAGCAGGGAGGTGTGAGTGCCTAGGGTAGCACTGTAGAAGGATTGCAGGTATGGAACTTGGGTGGGAAGGAGTAAGGCTAGAGGTGGCGGCGGGCCAGGCGGCTGTTACCAAAGGAGAGAGGTTGGTTGCAAATCCTTAGAAGGCAGAATTCTCTGAGATAGTGGGGGGGACCGTAAGGAAGCCCAAGATTGGGAGGAGCATGTTCAAGTTTCTGATTCAGGTCACGGGGTGAGTGATGATGTGCTTCACTGAGAGGGGACACCCCTGGAAAAAGTTGGCCTGGGCCTTTGGGCCAGTGGTGGGTCTGGGGCTGGGTAAGCGACATTGGCTGGCCAAGCCTTTAAGTCACCTTCATGCCTCACTTCCTGTCCTACACAGGGTCAACCGGATGCATATCAGTTCCAACAATCGCAATGCCATCCACCCTGGGGACCGCATCCTGGAGATCAATGGGACTCCGGTCCGCACACTCAAAGTGGAGGAGGTAGAGTGTGTGTCCAGGCTGTGTGATGGGTGGGAGGTCTGCCTGTGGCCTTTCCTCACTGGGTCTCTTGGTCTCAGTGCTGATGTGACCTGTGACCTGTACCAGAGCAGCATGGAGCTACTCAGAGGTGGAGGCTCCCATTAGCCACACTGTGCTTGGGTCATCTGGGGCAGGGTGGGTGACCCTGGGGTGGGGTGGCCAGTGGGAGCCAGCCTTACACTGCTCTTGACCACAGGTTAAGGATGCGATTAGCCAGACGAGCCAGACTCTGCAGCTCTTGATTGAGCATGACCCGGTCTCCCAGCGTCTGGACCCGCTGCGGCTGGACGCACGGCTCTCTCCTCACATGCAGAGCGCTGACCACTCCCCCACCCTCAGCACCCTGGACACCAAGGAAAACCTGGAGGGGACACTGAGGAGACGTTCTTTGAGGTGCGGTGCACCTCCCAGCCTCCTCCGTTTATGTCCCTGTGCCTAACCCTCCAATTAAGCGAGTCCCAGGGGAGTCAGGGAGAGAACCAGCTAACTGTGAGGACTGTGCTGAGCAGCCCAGCAACCGGTCAGGCCCAACTGGCTGCCAAGTTTCCTTGGTTACCAAAGGTCAGGCTCTGTCCACTGAGCTGCATGGAAGGTGGCAGCGTGGCCTTTGCGGGGAGCGTGGGACTCGGGGCCTGGACAAGGGCCCACAGAGGATTGACTCGGTGTCCACGAGGACATGGACAGCCAGAAACCAGGAAATGACACAGGATGCTTAAAACTTGAGAGGCACCAACAGCCCAGGCCCCTGGCAGGAGGGGGAGCAGTCTCCCCGGCTGGGCAAGCTCTCAGAGAGATAGCTTTATAGACCAAGAGTCAGGCCCACTAGGCAAACCTGCCTTCCGGGGATTCACGCGGAGCCCCCGGCACAGATCACCTCATCCCTCTGGGCCTCTGTTTCTGCATCTGTGAAATGGAGTTACAAGATAAAGGGGGCTTGCTTGCCCACTTGTGTGAGGATTAAATGTGGAAAAGGATACACAGAGGTGTCGTGCCTGACCGGGAGGAAGTGCTAGTATCCCTGGGAGTAGAGTCTTCCTCTACTCTCCTGACCAAATAGCCTGAACTACTCAGAGCCCTGTGGGCTGACGCCTCGTGGCAATGGCCCTCCGCACGGCGGTTGCCTTGGCTTCTGGCTGCCCTTGGCCTTGATGAGCTGGTGAGAACAAAGGGCAAAGAAGGCCTGGGAGTGCATGGCCCAGAGAAAGGAAGGCGTGGTGGGGAAGCAGGCAGGCTGCACATCTCTCTGGAGTGGTAGCATGCCGGAGAGGGAGGGGAAAGCTCACCTGGTACTTGTGGGCACAATCAGTGGGCATGGAGATGAAGGGCAGGCTAAGCCAAGAAGCAGCCAACCAGGTAGCCAGTGAAACAAGCAGGGAGGAGTGTCTGGACCCAGCATGCCCCTGCAGGGCTGGGCCCCTCAGCCTCTTTCCTCTTCTGCTGTGCGTTGGAGTGACAGTCATCTCCTGTTTCAGGTGTAAACCTAGAGGCTCTGTGGCTCTAGAAATCACACCTGCTTGTTATTTCAAAGTTCAGGAAATGGCGACAGGTGCAAACATTTGCCAAAATGCTACTGCGCTCCCTGTGTGCTGGTTATTGGGGTGGTTCGCTGCCCAGGCTGCGCCTGCTCACTGAAAGTTTGAATATGTGAGTCTGCCCTGAGGGGCCTCAGAAGAAAGGCCTGGCCATCATGCTCTGGCCCACCTGAGTCAGAATCGATTCCAGGGCAGCTGTGGTGGCAGTACTGGCATGTTGTCACTCCAGCCCCGTCCACACCTGGAATCGAATCGGTCTGGAAGGTGTGCTGGGTCCCCATCTCCAGTGCCATCAGAGGGATCAGTTGACACTAGTAGTAGTTTAGTATTTTAGGTGGAGAGTTCTCAGAGTTCCCGTTCTGAACACACTCTTACAGTGGGCTTCAGAACTCGTGGGGCCTGCAGTCCCAAGATGGGTCATCTGCCTGACATCAGAGCCCCGCCCCCTTCTCAGCCTCCTGACTGAAGATTTTGGGTCGGGTTGGGAAGCCCTGAAGGTCCTATCCCCAGGATTTCCTGGCAGATCCCCAAGGACTGCCCTACCTCTCCCCACCTCTCTCCTTGTTCTCAGACGCAGTAACAGCATCTCCAAGTCCCCTGGCCCCAGCTCTCCAAAGGAGCCCCTGCTGCTCAGCCGGGACATCAGCCGCTCGGAATCGCTCCGCTGTTCCAGCAGCTACTCACAGCAGATCTTCCGGCCCTGTGACCTCATCCATGGGGAGGTCCTGGGCAAGGGCTTCTTTGGGCAGGCCATCAAGGTGAGCACAGCAGGCTTGGCTTCTCCCTGCCCTCTCACTCGCAGCTCTTGGGTCCCCCCCGCCCCCCATGCAAACATCAGATGTCCTCCTGGCTGTAGGCAGGAGACCTGGGAAGGCTTGGCGATGGGCTTAGGAGTTGCATCTCCCTCAGGCCTCTTACAGGCACCGTTGCTGCTGCACTGACATTTCTGGGCCTGCAGCCCAGGTTGGAGCGAGCTGGGCCCATTACCCCGGCATCTCACCGGTAGCTTATTAGGTGCCTGGAGGCCCTGGGTGCTGGGGTGCTATGGGGAACACACAGAAATGGTGCCTGCCTCCCTGAGTACTGATGAGCAGTCAGAAACTAACCTCTCTCTTCCTCTCTCCCTCTCTCCCTCTCTCTCTCTCTCCCTCTCTCCCCCTCTCCCCCTCTCCCTCTCTCCCTCTCCCTTTCCCTTTCTCTCCCTCTTCCTACTCTTTCCTTTTTCTCCCTCCCTTTCTCCCCTCCTCTGCTGAGAGTGAGGAGGGAGGGCCAGGTAAGCAGTGTGTATCAGCTTGGGTGCAGTGAGGCTGCAGAGCTCACCACAACACCCCCAACCCTCCCCTGCACCCTCTCCTTGGTGCATGTCTGTGGCACTGACCCTCCTGCCTCCAGACCCTCACCAGAATGACGGGGGGCTCACTCCGGTGCCAGTAACCACAGCCCTGCTTGGCTTGGCCGCTTCCCAGCCTTTCTCTGGGTTCCCATGCTCCCCGTGCACGGCCAGCTCGCCAGGGACGCAGCCAGGCCCCCACGAGCCCCCAGTGGCCCTCGTGCTGCATCTTGCACATCAGAACTCGGTCTGTGCCCTTGGGCGCCATGTGTCCCTCAAAGGACGGGATGGCCACTTGCCAGGGTTTTGCTCCTAGTACTTTTGAGCGAACAGCCTGCAGTTTCTGCCCCGTTAACTGTGGCCCTCCCCACAGGTCACGCACAAAGCCACAGGCAAGGTGATGGTCATGAAGGAGTTGATTCGGTGTGACGAAGAGACACAGAGGACTTTTCTGACTGAGGTGAGAAGAGGGCCTGAGAGCTGGGAATTTGGTGTCGCCCCTGAGAGCAAAGTACGTTGAAAGCACGCTGCAGGAAAACTCCTGCCGCCCTAAACCCCAGCGTCGTCATTATTTGTCCCATGAACAGCAACCAAAGATCCATGAGCTGGTGCCAGGGACACGACAGCAGAGGAGGTGAAGGGGGGAGAAGGTGGAACTAGGGCCAGTTTCACATCCGCCACGGAACACTTCACTCAGTTCCCAGAAAGGCAGGCCTCGTCTACACGGATGGCCCTCACCTGACCATCACTGGGTCCCAGCATCCTGTTGCCTCACAGAAGCTGGAGGTGGGAGGTCCACTTGCCTCCAGAGCAGAAGGCTAGAGGGAGGTGCAGTGGGAACTGACCATCCAACCCCCTTCCCCTCCCAGGTGAAGGTGATGCGCAGCCTGGACCACCCCAACGTGCTCAAGTTCATCGGCGTGCTGTACAAGGACAAGAAGCTGAACCTGCTGACTGAGTACATCGAAGGGGGCACGCTGAAGGACTTCCTGCGCAGTGTGGTGAGCCCATCTCCCACGACGACTTAGCGCCCACCACCACGAACCACAGGGCCTGGAGAGCCCCAGCTCTTGCCCCTTAAGGACCCTGCCAGGCATACTTGGGGCACAGGTGGGGCGGATTCCCCGGAAGGTCATAGTGACTCACAAGGGGAACCTGTGGGACAGGACCCAACAGCCTCTGATAGGCATTCTTCCATCCTATTCTGCAGGACCCGTTCCCCTGGGAACAGAAAGTCAGCTTTGCCAAAGGCATCGCCTCCGGAATGGTGAGTCCCACCAACAGGACCCACGTCTCCCTGCTGGAGATGTGCAGGGATTAGCGGGCAGGTGCCGGGAGGCAGAAAGCCTGTCCTGGGCAGCTTGGGCTGCACTCAGCAGTTCTTGTCGGGCTTGTTTACTCCCGTGAAACCGCCCTTGACTGGCTGTCCAGAATTTACAGCCCTGCTCTCTGGGAGTTTGTGGAGTCTTAGGGAGTAAGCAGCGTGGATGGACAGACAGGGCAAATGGGAGCCGCAGACTATGGGCGAGGTGGCCTGTGCTCCCCATCACAGAGGCCGCTGTCTGGTGCTCAGGGAGAGTCCGAGACAGCTTCCTGAGGCAAGCAGCTCTAGTTGAGTCCCCAAGGATGGGCCAGAGTTAGACCGAAGTTCCTACTGGGAGATCAGCCTTGGAGTTGAGAGAATGACAGTGCATCGGGTGGGGGGATTGATATCTCGTTTCCCCAGGAAAGAATAGTACTAAGCAGAGTAGTCACACTGAACTGACAGGCCTCGAGTGATTTCTGCATTCCAGGAACTAAGCTGGATTAGCACGAGTGTGTGTACAAGTACTCGTTCTCCACAACATCCCTGGTTTCCACATGAGAAAATGCAGCCAGCAAGACACAGGCCTGGGGTCCTGGGCCAGTCAGCCTGGCCCCTGAGCCTGCGGTTTTTACCTGTTCTCTTCCTGCAGCGTCTAGCGTGGTAGCACTGAGACAGTAGAGTAAGATCCCCAGGTTTCTAGCCCACCAACCTGGGCTGTGTGCAGGCAGATAGAGACATGAAGAATTGTGGGTGAGAAGTCTGTGAGCAGAGCCTTCCCGGTCAGTAGGTTGGGTGGAACTGGAGTGTCTCGGGGCAGGCAGGCCTGGGTAGGGCCGGTGACACATTTCAGTTCCCAGATTAGGAGAGCGGCTGTGGGAACATGCAGTCTGATTGGAGAGGCTGGTTGACAGAAGTTGAGGCGATTTGAGGGTATCCAGAGCTGTGGTGGCACTGTGTACAAGTGCTTGGCTGTGAACTGGAGGGTCAGTGGGCTGTTGTAGGCCACCGGCCACACTCCTGGAGAGAAAAATGGGGCCGTCTGCTTCTGCAAAGGCTGCAGCCTTGGAAAGCCCGTGGGGCCTTGCTTCGAATCAACTAGACAACAGTGCAGTGCAGTAGAGGCACCTGAGGTTGGGAACGCGTTGTGGGAAGAGAAGATGGCTTTGAGGAAGGCTGAAAGGATCGGGTAGCAGGGGAGAGGGTGAGCAGCTTTTAGGTAGGAAGAGGCTGAAGGGTAGACGGAAGGTGGCCAGGCACTAGCATTAGTCGGGAGCACAAAGCGAGCATGGGTCAGGAAGAGGGCACTGGGTCCACAGGCAGGAAGAATCCCAGGTGGGTGAAGTCAGGAATGGGCAAAGGGAGTGGTGCATCTGCCTGCGGCATGCTCACCTAGAGCTTAGCTACATGAACGGGCGACTAGGGTGGGGTGAGTGGAGATGACGTTGTGGTGGGGAGTGGGCTCAAGGGCAACAGAAGCTGGGACCATGGAGACCATGTTAGGTGAGGGGTCCCAGTTCCGGAGTTGGGTCTGCTTGATTTTCTGCCCATGGGCCTCAGCTCGGGCTTCTGTTCCAGGCATACCTGCACTCCATGTGCATCATCCACCGGGACCTGAACTCGCACAACTGCCTCATCAAGCTGGTATGTCCCAGAGGCCGGCCCGCCTGGCTTCACGTGGCCTGTCTGTCACCTCTTGCTTCAGACCAGAAATGTATGTCCCCTGGACCTTCTATCTTGCCCCTCCTCTGGCCTACAGCAGTCCTCTGAAATAGCTTTTGAGAAGTCCCAGACACACAGACCCAACTTTTCTACCTCTCAGTGGCCGCCTGGTGGCGGGAGGGGGAAGTGGGGGCAGTCATCTGCTTGGAGGGACTTAAGCCCCGTCTGGTCCCAATCAGAGCCCTGTGAAGCAGCTCATTACTGACCCCACGCTGTAGCTGTGGTCCCTGAGGCCACAGAGCTTGTGGGTTGACCGAACCAGGGCTTCTGATTCCACACTCCTCCGCTGCCCCTCCGCTCTGCTGTTGCAATGTTCCTCCTTTGATCAACGTGCAGTCTGGCCTCCTGTGTCCACCAGCTGGCCCAGGCACTGAACTCAAACCTGTACCACACAATCATGATCCCTTTTCCACATGACTGCCCTGTAGCTATTTGAAGAACTTATCTCCTGCATGTCCCCACACTGACTCCCATTTGTCCTTCTCTGTCTTATCCTGGCTCTAGCCCCGGCCTTCTATCCTGCAGGACAAAAGAACAACACCCCCACCACCACCACCACCACTGCCAATCCCACCTCTGAGCTCCCGGCCCAGAGCCTCATCCTTCCAGGCTCAGGGGCTCTGCCGTCAGCACACTGGTGGTCCAGGGAATTTGTTGTACACACAGCTGTCTGTTTAAAAACACAAATGCCAAGCCTTGTCTGCTGGATAGTTTGCCTCCCTGGTAGCACACGTGGTGACATGCATAGCTGCTTGTTTAAGGTTGGCAGTTTTGGCTCACCTGGTGATGCCGCGGAAGAAAGCCCTGGCATCTGCTTCCAAAAAACCAGCTCGTGGAATCTCTGTGGAGCACCCTCCTCCTCCTCGGAGCTGGTTTGGGTCCTTTGTCCCTTCTGTGTGATGTTTCTGGCCACACACACACACCCTACCCCACCCCAGGGTCAGGTTTGGGAACGTCCCTACCAGGGCCTGACCTGGCTTGTGCCCTGCTAGGACAAGACTGTGGTGGTGGCCGACTTTGGGCTGTCTCGGCTCATAGTGGAGGAAAGGAAAAAGCCCCCAGTGGAGAAGGCAGCCACCAAGAAACGCACCTTACGCAAGAATGACCGCCGGAAGCGGTACACGGTGGTGGGAAACCCTTACTGGATGGCCCCTGAGATGCTGAACGGTGAGTCCGGCCTGTGGCACGCCTCGTCTATGAACTGTAGGGCGTGTGATCCAGAGCCCAGGGCTGATAGAGAGTTTTTATCCTCTGGAGCTGGTCCAGGACAAGGTCTGACTGGCTTCAGTGCCCCCAGGATCACTAACTGGAAGCTGCTCTCCTTGCTGAGAAGTGGTGTATGGTGCCCCCTGGTGGATAATGCTCAACCCAACCGGAGCTGCTGGATGATGGGGTTCTTTAACACATACACACCTGATTGTGAGGCTTCAGCAGTGGCCTGATCAAGCCTCTCTCGGAGTCTGAGGCCAGAGAGTTTGGTGGTTTGCCCTGGCACAGAGCAGGCTGCTGGCAGAGCCCACATGAGTGTGATTCTGTTCTCCTTGCTGGGCAGTGCTACTGTGTAACAGCCATGCTAAGGAAGGCGGTCTGGGGGTACCTGCGTGGGGCAACTTCACAGAGCCTCTTCTGGGCAAGGTTCTTGTCTGCAGCTCAGCTTGGTCCTGAACCTAACAGTCTGCTCTCTGTTCCCAAAGGAAAGAGCTACGACGAGACTGTGGACGTCTTCTCCTTTGGGATTGTTCTCTGTGAGGTGAGCTCCAGCCAGGAGGCCATGCCTGAGGCAGCAGGCCTAGCAGTCCTGTCCTGCTTCAGAAATGGGAGGCCTACTCCTATAGTGACCCCATATAGGGTTTCCAAGGCGGGATGCCTTCGCAGACTGTCGATCCTGACCTCCGCCGGCACATGAGGCTCATGCTGGCATGGCAAGGACTGGGCGGTGGGTTCTCGGCGAGGAAACGGGTGCAGCCAGTGGCAGTGGTGAGCCCAGACTCTGGTAGGAAAGGCAGGAAGTTTCCACTTGGCTTCCCATCTCACTCCTGAGCCTAAGGTCTCCATGCCCAACTCACCTCTGCTCCTCTTCCCTCCCTGGGGCTGTCCCCGCCCTCAGACCAGTAGGCACTGTGGGGTTCAGAGTGGGTCTTAATACACTTCCTGCCCTCGGGAGCTTAGCAGGCAGACAGCAGCTTAGCTCCAGGGTGTCCTGCAGGGGAGCGGGCACGTGGAAAGGCGACCATGATGCTGAGAGAGGAACTCCGGCCTGGGAGAGAGGTGGGAAAAGGGCCATATGGAGTCTGCCGAGAAGTTTTTTTTCTTTAACTTTCAATTGGGGTAAAATATTTGTAACAAATTGGGAGCGATATACAAGTTGCCCCACTATCCAAAACTGAAGCATGTGTAAGCAACCTTCTGTAAGCCCAAATGAAACGCGATCCCAAAGCCCAAACCCACTGCCATGGAGCCAATTCCAAACTTCATTCGTTCCAAATTCCTGTCTGAACACTGAAAAGTTCGAGAACTGAACATATTTCCCCATAAGAAACCATGGAAAACCAAATCATTGGTTCTAAGGCCCCCAAAATTACACTCATCGATTCATTTCTCCAGGACTTGAAGTCACTCTGGGGGCGGTTGGCCTCCTCGCAGCACTGTTTTCGCTGGGCTAGCGCCATCGAGTTTTTTGTGACTTAGCCAAACTAGCAGTCACTTTTTAACCTCGTCAATGATCTGAGTTCTTTGTTTCCTGGTTACTGATTTCGCACCTTTCACGACATTAGCCATTTTAATCACATTTTCCCCCCCAAAAAATGTTGCTAATGTCGACTTAGCCATCTTGTATTCAGCCGCCAAAGCAGAGAAGCAGCGACCTGATACAAATGTTGCCGTGATTTCTGTCTTTAACGCTATCGTGGTTCTCTCACTTGGCCTCTTAGCTTTATTGCTGTGATTACTAACTTTCTTTGGACCTGTGGTTACAATATTTTATACAAGTAAAGTACAAAAGCTCAGTGAGGAATGTTTTAAAGCACTAACCCAGCACTCTGTTAATCTGAGCAGAGCGGTGCTTACACTGACGCGCCCCCTCCCCGTGTGTCTGTGGTGACACCCGACAGGTGACTCACTCTTGGCCAGGACAGGTGTCTTGGGTTTTCGGATCGACTGTCGAACAAATTATAAACACGGAGCAGATTTTTCTTCAAACTTTCCTGTTTGAGTAGTGGGAAGTTTGAGCTTGGAGCCATTGGACAACTGAGCTATCGCTGTATTCAGGTTTCTGAGGCTGTAAATCTGTACAGAAGTAGACAGCCTCAACTGTCTCCACAGGGCGGCCGGTAAGTTTGAACTGACAACCTGGCAGTTTAGCAGTCCACCACCACCAAGCATCCTAAAGAAACAATCACCATTCATTTATATGGGGCAAATGTTTAGTGTCCCCACACCAAAAATCTATCCCAAAACACACAAAGCCGTTAGTAATAATAATTTTTACATCAGTCAGTATAAGACATGAAAAAAACTAACAATTTATAAATTATCAAGGGCTCGTGGGGGAGGGAGCATAGGGGATATGAGCTGATACCAAGGGCTCAAGTAGAAAGAAAATGTTTTGAAAATGATGATGGCAACATATGTACAAATGTGCTTGACACAATGGATGGATGGATGGATTGTGATGAAGAGTTCGTTGTAAGAGCCCCCAGTAAAATGATTTTAAAAATAATAATAATAATTTTTAAAGGCCTTTATGGGGCAATTTTACCCTGTCCTGAGGGTCACTGTGAAGCAGAACCAACTAGATGGCAGTGGATTTGGCTTGGCTGGGGGGGTGGGGGGCAGGTTTGAGAGGTAAAGAGGGCTTTCGCTTAGAATGCACTGAAGGTAACTTAGTGGTTTGAAAACTTAGGCTGATTTGGAAAGAGCGGAAATGCACAGTTTGAAGAATGCAGGTACTGTCAGTGAAGCGAACATGTAGAAACTAAAGAGTTACACCTGTGTATATTTTATATATAATATACATGTATATGAGGAGATTTCAAAAAGTTGGTGGGAAATGGGGTCAAAAGATATTGGGGGTACACATATCCTTCTGTGGGTACCCTCCCTCATCCAGATGCTGTGTCCCACTGAAGCTTTAATGAAGGCATCACTATAAAAATATATATATGTGGTAGTATATCTTGATTGACAGGCCACTATATACAAAGCACTAAGCTGATGCCAAATAGGATGGGGCCCAGCCCTGGGCCTTACAGGGCCTTTCCCCTGTCACAAGCCAGAGGCAGGTGGAGCGTGTAGAAGCTGCTAGCCCTCCTGTGCCACTGAGGAACATTAGGCTTGTGCTGCCGTGAGGCCCCTTCTCAGCAACTAGAGGTTGAATTGGGGTCAGCCGCACTTGGAGAGATGGGCAAGGGCCGTGCTCCCACCTGGCTTTTTCCCACCTCCTCTCCTGCTCACCCCAGCACCCGTCCTCCTGCCATCGGGCTGTGGCCTCCCCAGTCCGTCCGTGCTGACCAGCCGTCTTCCCACCTGCAGATCATCGGGCAAGTGTACGCGGATCCTGATTGCCTGCCCCGCACACTGGACTTTGGCCTCAACGTGAAGCTTTTCTGGGAGAAGTTTGTCCCCACAGACTGTCCCCCAGCCTTCTTCCCCTTGGCTGCCATCTGCTGCAAACTGGAGCCCGAGAGCAGGTTGGTGCCCTGCCCCACCCCCAGCTCACACAGTCCCGAGATGCTTGCCCAGCCTTGGGCTGTCTGATCCTGGCATGCCAAGTCATGCCGGGAGGACTGAGATGTGACGGAGACAGAGCTATTCATTTTAAAAGAACAAAATTCACCCGAACCCGTCTCACGCTTTAATAGAGTAAGTAGTACAGTCAATGTTTTATATTACCCCTTGTCCATACACACACATCTTTGATAGAGTTCTAATTTCAAAGTAGATAGAAATGTTCTATTGTGCCTTGGGTTCTGTCAAGTTGTCCTGGTGCACAGAGCCCCCCAGCCCGGGCCCTTCTCCCCTTGTTCTGTGTGGTCCCATTGTTGCGGCCTTTGTGTCACCCCATCTCATTGAGAGCCTTCCGCTTTTTCTCAGCCTCCACTTTACCATCACGGTGTCCTTCTCCCAGGGACCCCGGCCTCTTCTGATCACGAGACGACCTCTCGCCACACTCACTTCCAAGGAGCATTCTGGCTGAACTTCTTCTAAGACAGATTCATTTGTTCTTCTGGCTGTCCATGGATTTTTTCAGTGTTCTTCACCAGCACCATAATGGAAATGCATAGATTTTTCTTTGGTCTTCACGATTGAACGTTCATATGAAAGTGACGTCATTGCAAACACCATGGCTGGGATGGGGTGCACCTTAGTCCTCAAAGTGACCTTCATGCTCTTCGCCATTTTAAAGAGGTCTTGTGCAGCAGCTTTACCCAGTGCAAGATACCTTCTGACCTCTTGCTTTCTGCTACCGGAAGCATTGAGTGTGGGTCCAAGCAAGGGGAGCCCTTGACACCGCCCATCGTTCTCCACTTAGCCTGCTCGTAGGTGTCTCTTGGTCCCGTCGTGAGGATCTGTGTTTTCTTTTCTTTTCTTTTTTTTTAAATTTTCCTCGCAGCCCCTGGATCTGTGTTTTCTGTACAGGGGGTTGCAATCCACAGTGAAGACTGTAATCTTGAAACCTCGGTCCTCTTCATACAGTCCATCTCGAATTCTCTGTTCGGCTCACAGACTGAATAAGTATGGCGAAAGGATTCAACGTGTGCCGATGTTAAATCATGAAGTATTTCTATGTTCTGTTTGAACAACTGCCTCTTGCCACAGGTTCCACATGACCAAGGGAAGCATTCTAGAATTCTCACTCTTCTGAATGCCATCCGTAGTTTATTATCCACACAGTAGAATGGTCAATAAAATAGTCAATAAGCATAAGTGAACCTCTTTCTAGTATTCTCCGCTTTCAGCCAAGACCCATCGGAAGGCCTTAATGATGGCCCGTGCCACGTCCTCTTCTGAATCCAGCTTGAATGCCTGGCAGCTCCCCGTCTGTATGTGAACGATCTTCAACAAAACTTTACTTGCATGTGATGTAAATGATATCGCTCACTAGTTTCCACATTCTGTTGGGCCCCCTTTTTTTTGAACGGACACAAACAGGGTCCCTTTCAATCCGTTGGCCAGTCTTTCAGATTTCTCGGCAGAGGCCTGTGAATGCAGCACTTCATCAGCTTGCTGAAACCTTTCAACTGGTGGTCCATCAATCTCTGGAGCCTGGCTTCCACTTATCCCTTTAATACAGCTTGGACTTCTTCCTGCAGCACCATTGGTTCTCGCTCATGTGCTACTCTTGAGATGGACTATCAGCCAGTTCTTTCGGCACCATGACCCTGGGTATTCTTTCCCTCGTCTCTCGATGCCTCCTGCGTCGTTCAGTATTTCGCCCATAGACTCTTTTCAGTGTTGCAACTCAAGGCTCGGCTTTTTTCTTCGGGTCTTTCAGCTTGATGTGTGCCGGTTGTGTTCTTCCTCCATGGTTACACAGTTCGCTGTCATACTTTACTTTGTCCTCTGGAGCTCCCCCATTGAGTTCTTTAACTTCCTCCTTTCTTCCATTTGCTTGAGTGGATCTGTGGTCAAGGGTAAAGTTCAGTCTCTTCTCACATCCGCTTGGACCTTTTTTCCCGTCTTTTTAATGGCTTTTTGCTTTCTTCATGAATGATCTTTTGTTCTTTTTTTTTTATGAGTGATGTGCTTGATGTCCTCCCACCGCTCATCGGGTCTTCTTTCCTCAGTGTTCAATGCAGCAAATCTACCATGTTCCTACCCACTTTCCTGTTTTATCTTTTTTGTTGACTACAGGAAATTCGACTCAGAGACTGTCTGAACATCTTATAATGTCCACCATCTGTCAGTATTCCAGTTCTGACTTTTCTTTACTGGAAGGAGTAATACGACAGTGAACTTATGTATGCATCTATCTGCTTTGCTCCTTTGAGGCAGCGGTTCTCAACCTGTGGGTCGTGACCCCTTGGGGGGGGTCGAACAACCCTTTCACAGGGGTCACCCGATTCATAACAGTAGCAAAATTACAATTGTGAAGTAGCGACAAAAATAATGTTATGGTTGGGGGTCACCACCACATGAGGAACTGTATTAAAGGGTCGTGGCATTAGGAAGGTGGAGAACCACTGCTCTAAGGAAATCTTTAACATTGCCTTTTCTTCTGAGCTTATATTTTTCACAATTACCAAAGTTAGCTCAGGCCCTTCCAATTAGAGTCTCTATACGAGTTTACTTTTTCTGCTACCAAAAATTATGTTCCTTTAAAAATCAAGTTTAAAGGTTACTAAAATAGAGAGCCTAAGAAGAGTAAGTCTCCTCTTGCCTCCCACTCTACCCTCCCAGGGCAGCCAGGTGGCCCAGGATGATTTCCAGAGCTTCCCTTTAGAGTTAGAATTTGCCAGTGGGAGGCTGTCTAAATGGCCTCACCTAACTCCCCGGAGTGAGGAGAATTCTTGTCGGGGTCGACAGCCCATGGCCCATTGCTATGAGTGGAGGTCAGACAGACCCTTCTGGCCAACCTTTGTCATCAGTTCTTACAGCAGCTGCCCCACCACCGCACTCTCAGTGGCCGCACAGAACTCCACAGCCCTATTCACCACTGCGGAGTTTGGTCGGAGACTAACGGGTAACAATTCAGGATCAGGACCAACTGGGTTGTGTTGTAAGCAAACCTTTCTCTGGCCTCTGCTCTGCTCGGGCAAAAGTTAAAAAGCTCTCTAGCTCAACCAATAAGTGTCTAGAAGCACCCCACTCCACTAGTAATCTTTTGCCTAAAGACACTCAGCTCTTTCTTGCTCTGGAAGCTACATCAATTGCCTGAAAGCCCCACACTCCTCCTGGAAGCTTCCTGCGAGAAGCCGTTGGCTCTCGCCCTGTGGGTCAGTACCCCCACTGTGGTCACCTTGTGCCACCATCACTTCACACTTGATACTGCTATGCCACCGTTTCTCATCATCTCCATCCCTGGTGGCCCACAGGCACCATTTACACAGTCCCAACCATTTGATGGGAGTAACAAGACCCTGGTGAGAAAGGCCCGGTGAAAACAACCCATCAGACCCCAGAGGCTTGTCTCTTGTGCCTTTTGGGCCCTCAGTTACATCAGGTCAAAGACTGGGAGGAAATGTCGAGCTGCAGAGTGAGTGAGTGAGTGAGTGAGTGAGTGAGTGAGTGAGTG